GTGGGCAGCCATGAAAGCAAAAACGAAATTAGGGATGGGTATGAAAAGAAGAAAGAGAACGGAAAAGAAGAGACTACTTCCGGTAACGAAACGTGGAGGTGTCCTACCAATTTTACCAATGTTAGGTTGTGACCGAATTTGATAACTCTACTTACCGGTCGGTCCTTCACTATCTTCTTTATCACGGTCGTCACTCCTTTTCACCTCCAAAGGAGAAGGTATTGCTCAGTAATTATTAGGTTCTCAGCCACCGTCCCCACTTGCGTCCTTTAGTCGGCTTGCTCCGATTTTTAATCGCTCGCGGTAGGAGAGGTCTCGTATAGAATTCAACACTGGATGTTGCAGGAAATATAATCCAATCTTTATTAGTCGTAGCACGTAGCACGTTTTCTTACAATTTGTTCGCGTAACGCCGCATTGGGATCCTTCGCCACATACGCACGCCGCTGATTAATTCTTTTACAATAACTTGAATAACGCCGTACTGGGATCCGTCGCCAGATACGCACGCTTCTGATTAAATTTTCACAATTTATTCGCGTAACGCCGCATTGGGATCCTTCGCCAATTACGCACGCCGCTGATTAATTCTTTCACAAAAACTTGAATAACGCCGCACCGGGATCCGTCGCTGGATACGCACGCTTCTAACTAAATTCTGACAATGGCAGATATACTTGTAACTTCAACTGGTGCGCGTAGAGTTGGGCCCCCGTTCTCTGTATCGCCCTCGGCTATTTCGGCCCGCGATTGAAGCGATCCCGCTCACAACCCCTTAACGCCCCAAACTTGACTCGAAAGGATCACTCTCGAAGACAAGGGCGAAAAGTCTTGTTTCGACTACCCGACAAAATGCGGTACGCGAAAGACCAAGGCAGCAAAAGCTTTAAACCGCCTAAAAGCCGCCTAACAAGCACCCAACAAGCCTCGTTCCGCCTTGCGCTCCCGTTTATATACCCTTCGCGCTACCCCCTCTTCAGTGCTTGCAACGCTTCGCTTTCCATGCGCGCTGTTAGCGCTCGCAGCGTTAGCTGTATCTTACTAACTACGCTGCTTAATTCTATCCCTGCATTTTTATCTCTATATAAATTTTTAACCAACGCTTTTCTTTATTTTCAGGTAACGCTTTGCAACAGGAAGATGCAGCCGCTCGCGTTCTCCCGCTGGAGTTACACGTAAGTATACTAATAAATCTTTATTTACAGGTTACCAAAATTTACCGACTGAATCCCCTTTTCTCTATATGCACTATATACATTCCTATACGTCCCTAGATTTCTAGTTATTTAATTATTTCGGTACCGTAACAATATTTTAGGTACACCGGGTATTTGTATCAACTTCAAATTTTAACGGCACGTCCCATTGGTGCTCACAAATGTAATGACGGTTGGTTTTCCCGCTCGCTCGAATTTAAGTTCATCGCAACAATATTTTACCGTCATCCGGTATACGTATCGACTTCAAACTTTAGCAGCGCGTCTCTTTGGCGCTTAACAAGAGTATGACGGTTGCCTTTCTCGGTCCGTTGACTTTAAGTATAGAATAACAATTTTTCGTGATCACCCGGTATGCGCGATGACCCGAAACTTTAACAGTACATTCCATTTGTACTTACTCGGAACCTGACGGTCGCTCTTTTGCGATTCGCCAACTTTGAACATACAATAATAATTTTTCATGGTCACCCGATATACGCAATGAATTCTAACGTTGACAGCCAATCTGATTAATGCTACCAATGAACATAACGATTGGGTTTTTCGATATTCGAATCGCAACTATATAATAATAATTTTTCGTGGTCACCCGGTATGCGTGGTGAACTGAGATTTTAGCTGCACACGTTGGTGCTTATATGGAATATAACGGTCGCCTCTTGCGATCCGCTGACTTTAGGTATACAATGACTATTTTTTATGATCAACCGGTATCCGCGGTGAACTGAGACTTTATCTACGCATTTCATTAATGCTTCTAGTAATATTAACGGTCGGTTTTCCCGATTTACATTTCAAGTATGCGACAACAGTCTTTCATGGTCACCCGGTATACGCGGTGACTGTGCATTCTAGTAACCAGTCTTACTAATGCTTGCGATAACTTTAACGGTCGGTTTTCCCGATACTAGACCTTTTACTTTAATTTGTCTCGCGATATCTTAATTTCCGGTCACTCGGTATCCGAATTCATGAAGCAATAATTTTGCCTCTACGGTTTTGTCGCCTTAAGGGCTTCTACTAAACTTAACTCTACCTTAATACCAACTTTACCTTTTTCTTTTTTTTTTCCTAATTAATTTTCTCTTTTCAATATTAACTATACTACTCTTAATAATGATAATTATTCTGACAATAATAGTGATAATTCTGAGACAATTGATAGTAATAATATTTATAGCGTCAAACACTATTTGTGCTTCGCATGTCAAACTTGAACAACAAAAAAAACATAATAACCGTAACTTTCCATTGTCGTTACTCGGCGCGAACTCTTTATTCTCCTACCTTCCGGTGGTTGGTGCGGCTGCTGCGAACGCGAAGCCGGGGACTCGTCCATGGTTTCAAGGTGCGCTCGGATCTTTGATTGGTGGAGCGGCGAGCGTAGCGAGAGCTATGAGCGATCGCAAGGCCGCTCGACGTTAGTCGGAGGGTCGTGGACTGTATCTAGCACCCTACAAACGCGGTGGTAGCGTGAGGAAGAGAAAAAAGGCAAGAGGTAAAAAAAAACATCGTGGAAGGAAACGTTAGAGGCTCTTAAAATACCACTCTCCGGTATCACGACGAACGAACAGTTGAGCCGCGCGGCGTATCGTTTGCGTTTACCATTCTTCAGAGGTGTGTTTATGCGTGACGCGTTACCGACGAAACCGCATCGAAACGAAAGCGGTATCGTGAATCTAGATAATTCTGAAAATGCTGGCACACACTGGGTTGCTTACGCAAAGAAAGGAAATAACGCCATTTACTTCGATGATTTTGGCAATCTTAGACCGTCAAGGGAACTCGAACGCTATTTCGGAAACAACGTAACGTATAATCATCGCTCTTATCAAACATTCGATCAGAGTATTTGCGGTCAATTGTGTCTACGATTTCTTCGAGAAATAGATTAGAAGAAAAAATATATCTAATAATAAGTCGTGTGAGTCATCTCAGTTGAGCGTTCACCTTCAATCGCATTATGTCGTTGACTCTCGCGTTGAATGGAACAACCAGTATCCTCACGGCGAGTTACTTCCCTGCGTTGGATATTAGTAATGGTGAATACGAATAGGGTCTTACGAATTTTGAAACGTACAACGCAATACCGAACGTTACTTCCGCGAATAATAAATTCTACTTCGATACCGACGATAAAATAATCACGATTCCCGAAGGATCGTACGAATTGAGTGCTATAAACAGGTATCTGACAGCTGCTATTCGTCACGTACGACGACGAATGCTTAACGATAAAGGTAATAATGACGATGAGTATATATTCGACGATGACGACGACGACAACGATAGTGCTCATAAAGAAGAGATACTGATTCTTCGAGCCAATGAGAACACTATGAGAAGCGAGATCAAATGTGCGTACCGAATAAATTTTACAACACCGAATAACATCGGTTCGCTATTGGATTATTCAAAATCACGCGTATTACAACCGAACAAGTGGTACGCGTCTGACAAACCTGTGAATATTATGAATGTAACTATACTTCGTATAGAATGCAACATTACCGCGGGTGCGTACAATAACGATAAACCAGCGCATACGATACATGAATTCGCAGTGAACGTTCCACCTGGATATAAATTATCCGATACTCCCACACATGTCATTTATCTCCCAGTCGTCGCGAGAAACGTTACCGATATAACGATACGTATAGTGGATCAAAACGGACAATTGATAAACCTTCGTGGAGAAGAGATATCGATTCGACTTCATATACGACGCAGACGATAAAAATATGCTCAGATGCTCGTTCTAAACGAGTCACACGATTGTAAGAATACGTCCACCATACCGCAGACGTCGCAATTATCATCGCTCACCGAACGATACGTTGGAAGAAAACGGAGAGGAACGGAGGAGAGATTGAACGCTGCGAACGTCAAATTTCTACGGTCTCTGGGATTCGTCGTGAACAATGAATCGCGATATTCTAAACATAGGGGGTGAGCCCATCTTCGACGATCGTATCGTTAAGATTGAGACTCACACTTACAACCCATACGCTAACACCACATTCGGATACAGCGATGAAATACGAATACCTATACAACATCAGGATCTGTACATGTTATCGTGTGAGAGTTTTCTCTACGTCGAGGGAAAATTTTCAACGACAAAACGAGATGGAAACACATCCGAGGAACAACCTCCAAAATTGTTGAATAATTGCGTCGCGTTCATATTCGATGAGATTCGGTACGAGTTAGACGGTGTGGAAATCGATAGATCTAGAAACGTTGGTATTACCAGTACGATAAAAAATTTCATATCGTTAACCACTGGCAAGAGTATAACGTTAGAAAATGCAGGATGGGATGGCACGATATAGTTATTTCGCGCACCGCTTTCCGAGAGTTTCAACTTTTGCGTACCACTCAACACACTCCTAGGATTTTGCGAGGATTACAAACGCATAGTGATAAACGCGCGACACGAACTTATCCTGATACGTGCGCGTAACGATAACAATTGTGTTGTGGCGCACGAATCGACGGAACCTAAAATCACACTATTAAAGATACAATAGAGAATGCCACATGTAGTGCTGAACGATGTCAATAAATTATCACTTTTGCGAACGTTGGAAGATGGATGATATCTCAGCATGTGTTTCCGGTCGTGGGACTTGTACGAATTTCCTCAGCTGCAAAGCACAACGAAGCATTCGTGGGCTGTTAAAACAACGTCGCAATTGGAAAAACCGCGATACGTAATTTTTGCGCTTCAAACCGGAAAAAGAAACGTAACGTCGAAAAATAGTTCACAATTCGACATATGTAATCTCACTAAAGTAAAACTTTTTTAAAATTCTGATTTTTATCCTTACGATGGTATGAATTTAGATTTCGAACACAAAAAATACGCTGCACTGTACGATATGTATGTAAAATTTCAAAAGACGTACTATGGTTACAACAATCGCGATCCTATGTTATCTATCGGAGAATTTCTTGTACACGGTTCATTCGCGCGCGCGCGTAGTGATTGATTGTTCTCGCCAAAACGAATCGGTAAAGAGCGCCACTGTGGATATTCGTATAGAATTCGAATGTATGGAAAATATTCCACTGAACACCACAGCTTATTGTCTTATTATTCACGACAGGGTGATAGAGTATAATCCATTGAATTCGCAAAATTGTATAATATTTTTTCAAGCTCTTTATCGAGTTTTACACGCTATCATATTGTACTGTAAAACACATATTTCCTTAAATATATTATATCTTACAAAAAAAAGTGATGATGTCATATCCCTTTCCTCTTAGATAGATAAGAGTCTCGTCTGCAACATATTAAGGTATGAAACATGATTCATGTCGTATATATAGAAAAATCATGAAACACGATTCATTACTCTTGACAGAGCGTTCGAGTACGCATCGTTTTTACCACGTGTCGTATACTTGTGTTACATCGCGATGTCTCTCACGTTCATCATCATCATCATCATCGTTTTCGTTACGATTACTACGACGACGACAACGAGAACGGCAGCGTCGACGGCAGCGACGAATCGTGAAATCATATATACTGAAGTAATTCTGTATCTACAAAAGTATGGTTACTTGAGTAAAGCTGGCAACAATACGCAATTATCATTCGAAGAGGGAGAACTTAAATAGACTATTTCGTTGTTTCAAGAATATTATCAAATACAGGGTGATGGTACATTAAATAACCATACGTTGTATCAGATGCGTAAACCACGATGTGGTCTCCCTGACATCTACTAGCATAATATAGGTAGACGTAAATGGGTGAAAACACATCTCATATGGAATTTTCAGCTAGCGGATCCACACACCTTGCAAACTACCGAATTCGTGTTCTCGCTATGGGCAGCTAATTCATCTTTATCATTCAAACGTAAAACGATAAATCCCGATATCTTGATATCTTATCGTGTGGCACACACACGTACGCTGATCGTAGACGCAACGAAGAAATTTGCGCCTCTTCGTTAGATGGACGTGGTGGAGTACTCGCTCACGCGTTCTATCCTCCTACCGTTGACAATTACAGCACTGAAATACACATAGATAGTGCAGAACCGTGGCATATATATCTAACTGACAAATCTGCTAGTAGTAACAAGGACTATCTGCTTAACACATTAATACATGAAATTGGACACGCATTAGGATTAATGCACAGTTCGCGCGAAGAATCCATAATGTTCGCAGTTGTCACTGCTAGGAATAATAATAGAATCGCTAAACTCAACATAGAAGACATTTTAGCCATTCAACAATTTTATGGAATTATAAATCCAAAACCAACAACAACCACACAACCACCAACTACCGAAATTACAACAAATGCACCCACGTACGTAGATCTATGTACTTTACAATATGTGGATACGGTGTTGGTATTACATCATCGAATATTCGTCATCGTATCAACGCTACGTATGGTCGATAGATATAAACAGGGATGAGAAGTAACTCGTTATTTATAACGAAGTTACAGTTAGAGTTACTTTTTTTCAGTAACTGTAACTTAACTTCGTTACTTTCTTTCCATCTGTAACTATAACTTAACTTAGTTACATCTT